GGGTGCGACCAGGAATCCCAGCTCTCCTGTGCATGTCTCCATAGCTGCCGCCCCTCTCTGTGCCAACCAGGACAAGGCTGAGCCAACAGCAGCCCACTCCCCCAGAGCCCCTCATGCCCTTCTTTCAAAGGCAGCACACAGACCATTCTCGGCCGCCTCACTCCTGGCCCACCTGGCACAGGTGCTCCGGCCCCTGAAAGGGGAGGGGTGGGCTGCGTAGAGGTGGGGGCCTGACCTTCCTGCACCCTGGGGTCTGGTGGGAGCTGAGGGAGTCCAAGACGAGGAAGTGCGTGCCTTTTTCCTGTGTCTGTTACGGTCCCAGGCTTTTCCCACTACAGGGGTCTTTTCTTACTCGATTCTTTGGGGGTCAGGGTAAAACACTTTTAAGAATTCGATTTCATACCGGTCAGGGTGTCTTTCCTCCCGGGCAGAGTTTTACAACCGTCACGAGGACTCTAAATTTTACAAGACCCAAGTCCCTCAGTGGCAAAGTGCCAGCCCTTGGCTCGGGGGTGGGGGTGGGGGGTGGCCGCAGAGAGAGGAGAGGCCGGCCTTCGGGTGGCCACCTTCAGCCGTGTGTTGTAGAGTACCTCGTCCTTGGACATAGATGGACTTGCCTGCACTTTCTCGGTGCTGACAGATGCCTCTGGTTGGCTCCCTTCACTAGCGCTTCATGGTTCCGGCCGCACCGGAGTACTGTTGGGACACAGGATTGAGTTTCTCTAGGTACCTCAAGGAAAAAGAACCTGACTATGCTGCATTTTGTTTCTGTGGGCTTTGACGCGAAGCGCTGCGTTCTCCCTCTGTTCCTGAGGTCTGTGCTTCCCAGACCCGGGTAGACTATAGAGAGGAATTGTTGAAGTTACTCTTATAGGAATATATGGTATCCTCTTTATGATGATGATGATGATGATTTTAATTAATTTTCAACCATTTTCCTTTCAAAAAGTGGACTCTGCTATCTGGTTTAAAGGCTGTCCTAAATCCCAATAACGACTTGACCCCAGTAGACCCTGCGAGGCAAAGGGAGCAATGTGAGCAGATGAGAATGTGCCCAACCCTTTCTGCTCCGGCTGCTTTCCGAGCTCCTCCTCCTCGTGGCCCCCGAGGGTCAGGCCTGTGGGCACCGTCAGGTTGTCAGCACAGACCTCACGTGCAGCTGGCCTCTCCAGTAAGGGGCGTGATCTGAAAGGCACGGCAGACAGTAGGCGGCCAAGGGAGGGGGTGCCCAGGGGAGCAGGGGCAGGGCATGGCTGGAGTGACCTGAGAGGAGCAGGTGGAGAGAGCTGTTGGCGGGGACGTGAGCTTCTGCCCTGTTGACGCTTAGCTGGGTCCTTTCGCGTGTGTTTTTTGAGCTTATTAGGTTAAATAGTTTGCACTATTTTTGCAATAAATCCATGGAACCCCCTAACAGTTGCTTGTTTTGTTTCTTACTGTGTGTACATAAACTGATACTAAAAGGTATGGCATAGTGTTTTCACCTCCTTACATAACCCTTAACATGCACAGAATGCTGTAAAATCGATAAAATATGATGTGAATGATATTTTATAAAGTTATTTTGTATGGTGTCAATTTTGTTTTGCCTCATAGTATGTCAGCAAAAATGAAATAAAAAAAATAAAATTCCTCATATTTACAGCTGCCTCTCCCAGAGACCTCTGATTACGCGTGGCCTTACCGGGGCGCCTGTTCCTTCCCTGCGACTCATGGTCCCAGGTCTCTGCTGGTGGTGGGTGGGGGATAGAGGGTGCCCTGGAGTCAAGAGTGCATGCTTGAAAAGCCAGGGTGGAGACAGGGAGGCAGCTGTGGTCGGAGCCTGTCCCTTCAGCAGCCTTGAGCAAGATGATGTCGAAAGCCCTTGTCCACTAGTGAGCACGGCCGGTCCTGCGATGTCCCCTGAGACTCGGAGCGGACCACAGCTGGGGGTCATGTGGGCTGAGCGTGAGGTGCTGGAAAGGGGCAGGAGGGGTGTCGAGGTGTGGAGAGCCCCTGGGGAGTGTGTGGGCACTACAGCTGGCCACGGTGGTGACCTCCAGGACAAGTGATTCTAAGGGAGAAGAGGGCTTGTGAGGAGACCAGCATGATGGACGCGGGCATGACCTGGGGCCTCACTGGAGGGCTACTCCTAAGACTCGGGGTGGGAGGGGGAGGGCGGATGGGGCGGATTGCACCCGTCTTTCCCCGAATCCACACGGTGCTTACCGACCACATCTAGGCAAGTTCTTCCCTTCAGTGAGCTGGGGACCCTGTGCTTTTCAATGGTGGTGACAGGTGTGACCCCAGACCCTGTGTTAATTCTTAGTTCCTGGAACCACGAGGCGGCTCTGGGCCCTCTGGCTTTGGGGAACGCTGGTCAGAAGAGGGCGAGCGGTTATGAAGGGCCCCATGCTGGGTCCACCCAGGGCCCTGACTTAGTCGGCTGATCTGTGTCCCCTCTTGGCTTTGCCTGCACGTCTACCTGGCCAGCGGCAGCTCATGGTGGCGTGGGAAGACCTAAGTATAGGCGTGTGAGGGACTCCATCTGGGGGTTCACCAGTGTTCTGAGGGCAGACGGCTCCCCATTGGGAGGCTGGGCAGTGGAGGCTGTGCAGAGCAGCAGGGATGGGGGCAGAGGAAACTACAAGGAAGGAGACAGGTCAGCGTCGGGGCCTTGATTTCAGGCCGGAACCCTCTGGACTCCCCCGGACCGCACAGCACAAAGCTTTCTCCCAGGTTTGAACCCCACCCAACCTAACCCCGGATTCAACCCCTAATGGACCTGAGCCACAATCCCCTTTGTCGAAAGCAGAGACGGACTCCGCAGGCAGGTTCTACGGATTTGACAGAATCCTGGGTGCGGAGCGGGCAGGCCCTGGGCGGTTAGTCAGACCGCTGCACGTGGACAGGCAGAACAAGGACTAGGGTGTGCTGAGGCCTTGGGCCCCAGGATACCATGCTCGCTCCACACACCACATAGGGTTCTCAACCCAACACGCTGCCCTGGAGACCACTCCGACTCTCAGTGACCCTCCTGTGGCACAGAGAGCCCTGCCCCCTGTGGGTTTCTGAGACTAACTCCACAGGAGCAGAAAGCCTCATCTTGCTCCCTGGAGCCGCTGCTGGGCGTCGGACTGCTGGTCTTGAGCTTAGCTCCCCCAGCTGCACCGGGGCTTCTCGTCCTGCCTGACCCGCAGGATAGCACCGCTCCTGCTGGCAAAGGAGCCACTGAAAGGCTATGAGGAGGCCAGGAGAGTGCTTGGGGGGACGCCCGGTCTGGTGGTGAGGTTTGTTCTGAACAGAGGAAATCAGTTGTACTGAGATGATCAAACTTTCGGAAGTGGGACCGATGCGGGTGCATCTGCACAGAGGTCAGCTCATAGGGCTGCAGCAGCCACGGACGGCGTGTCTGAGAGGCCTAAAACCCGTCCAGTGAGGCTCTTTGAGCCCATGCTGAGCACAGAAGGGTTCTGTTAAGCTAATGCGCAGGCAGCAATAGGAAATGTCAGCCGGCACCTTATAGTTAGCTGCCGATTGCCACTCCCGGCAGCCCCGTGTGTGCAGTTGGTGACGAGAGATGTGACATGAAAAGCAAGATCCACAGAAGAGCAGGTAAATACTGGCTTTCCCAAGCGCTTCTGCTCTTCAACAACCGCTGCTGGGCGTTAAGCAAGACGAGCCTCAACTTGGACAAAATGTTTGCAAATCATGAGCTCCGACTCCCAGGCGAGCAAGCGCAGCAGCAGCAACAGACCCCAAGATGGACAGAGGGGGTGCACGCTGCGCCTCTGCTGGAGGGGCCGGCACTGTCCCCAGAGGCCGAGGGAAGACCTCCCTCATGAGAGCAGCGGGGCTCTGACCAACCGAAACTGGGTACCAAGAGTGACTCAGCGAGACTCCACGGGGCCCAGCCACCTGGGAAACAAGTGGGTGGCTCTCAGGAACTTAGAGATGTGAACCCAAAGGAAAGCCAATCCTGGGCCCAGCCCCAAACTCACTGCCATCGAGGTGATTCCCACTCACAGCCCCGCTGTAGGGCCCCTGTGGGTCCGAAACCGCACTCCTTACAGACTAGGCCTTTCTCAGAGCAGCTGCTGGTTCCAAACTGCTCAACTCGCAGTTAGACACCCGCCTCATAACCACACCGCCACGGGGTAGGAAGTGACCAGTCAGCCTGGGGCATGGCCGACAGTGCCGGTTGTCCAGTGGACTGTTCCTCAGCAGTGGAGGGACTGTTGCTGGCACACTACCACCATGGCCGAATCCAGAGCTTGGTGCCACGTATAAAGTAACCCCACCAAAGGCCACAGCAGAGATCCCCTTAGTGACAGGTGACATTCATGAGACCAGGGCGAGTGGCAGGGGAGCCCGCTGTCATTTTGTCGAGGCCAGGTGGCACAGAGGAGCTCAAACCCGCCAGGCTCACTGCACACGGAGGCAGGAGAGCCTGGCTGCATGCACCTGAGGAGCTAGCTCTGAACCTCCTGGCATTCTCCTATTGTTCATTCTCCATTGAGAGATTCCAGGATAGTGAGCTTAGGGCTTTTTTTGTGGGGGTGAGGGGTGGCTTTGAGGGTTTGTGAGTTAAAATAACTTTCAATAATATTTTTATTATTTTAAATATCATTCTTAGGACCCGAAAATAGTAACAATACAAATGTGGTGTCCAAAAGCCACTGCAACACCGGATTGCTGGTCCCTCCTGTGACGGCGGCCGAGGCGGAGGTGAGCAGGGGCTGTCTCGGCGTGGCCCACAGAGGCTGACAGACGGCCGGAAGGGTGGGCCGCTGGGCTTGGTTCCCCAGCACTCGCCCGAGGGACTCTTGTGAACGCCGGCACTGCGGTGAGAGGGAAGGAACCCAGGTGAGCACGGTCGGAGCCCAGAGTGCTCTCACGACGGGCTTTCTGAGGCTCAGACAGACTTCGGGTTCTGTGACACTGCTGACTTGACTTGGGACTCTCCCCTGGAGGACATGTTTAGGAATGCCTGTCTACACTCCCACCACACAAGACTCCAAAGCTAGTTCCGTAAGACATTTTATTGTAAAAATATACACAGGGATTTCTTAACAGAAAAGACACGGTATATAGCCTTTTACAGTTTAAAAAAAGAGGCAATATTTGCACAAAGCAAAGCGTTCTGTCGACACTTCAGCTATAACATGCTACTCATAAACTTAATGTGTAGCTCAGGCTCCATCAGGTTGGTTACAAGACTGAACTTCAAACTATACAAACAAGAATTCATATATAACTGCCGCTTAGAGAGGCTTCCAGGTCGATCAGCAACTTTAGACACTGAGCAGGCTCTCTGCCTCTGCAGCATCAGAGCTGTAGCCGGCCAGCTGCTGTGGGGTCACACGTCGGCTCTGTGGGAGGGGGCTGCCTCCCTGGGCGTGACCTGCGGAGACCCCACCTCCTCGAAGGCTCCGGAAATGTAGGAGACCCAAGTCCAAGAGCGGTGTCTTTGAAGCAGTGTGGCAGACCAGGCAGGTCTCGTCAGGCTGAGCTGCGAGGGACCTAGGAGTCGGCTTCGTCATCCTCCTCACTGTCTTCCTCCTCCTCCTCCTCCTCGTCTTCCCTCATCTGCTCCTTAAGCATTTTCAGGTATTTACTGGCTAAGATCTTCTTAGGTAATATGTCTTAAAAACAGAAAACGTGCATGAGCCATCGATGATGACACACCAAGAAAGCATCGATGCGAATTTCAAGATGGACGGGCCCCTGCTCCAGAGAAAAATGCAGGTCTCGCTGTGCTGCCCCACCTGAGACCAGCTGAGACTGACTAGCGGGGCCATGGGTTCCCAAGCAGATTTGCCCGACTGCTCTCTACAGGAAAACATCACTCAGCGCCCCCTGACCATCAAAGATGTTTGTAGTACTCTGTTTCCCCAAAAGTAAGGCATCCCCTGAAAATAAGACCTACTTACAGTTTTGCCTCTCGCTGAAATATAAGGCATTCCCCCCAAAATAAGGCCCCCCAAAGCTACCATAACTCTGGACTCTGGACCGTAGCGGTGGGCACTGTCATGCAGCTCACTGTTGCCTGCAGTGCAGCCAGAGCAGACAGGAAGTGTGAGGTCTCTTTTAATTAAACAATAAATGTGTACCGTATTCTTCATGGAAAAATAAGACATCCCCCGAAAATAAGACCTAGCACATTTTTGGGAGCAAAAAATTAATATAAGACACTGTCTTATTTTCGGAGAAACAGGGTACCACCCATAATCCAGGATAAACTCCCTCTCCCGATGCTTCTTGCAGTACTGCCCCCCCCAGGGGGCAGCATTGCCCACTTTGGGAAGCACTGGACTAGGCCCACCCAAGGGAGAAGCAACTCCCCAGAGCACGGCCCCCCTGGACCACCGAAGCAGACAGTCCCGAGTTTTCCCTTGGGAAGCAGGGTGGATCCTGAGGGTGGGGGCTGGCCATGCTCACCCACAATCTCTTGCAGCTTCCAGACTTCATGCTTGCCCTATGTGGCCCCCAGTATAAAACAGTCCCAGTATAAAACAGTCAAGGAGGAGGAAATCGGAAACTAACTCCCTGTGCATGGCCCGGCCAACTGTCCCGTCCAGAGAAGAGGGAAAACCCCAGGTAAGTGACCAGGTGGTTCTCACTGAGCTTTTCCAAGTACCTGCAAGAAACTGGAAGGCGTCGGCCTCCTGCGTAGCCTGGGCCAGGTCGCTGTAGGACAGCGCTCTGCGGTCCAGCCCACCGCCATGCCGGTAGGAATAGGTGGCCAGGTACTGAACAAAGAGCTCCTACAATGAAACGGAGAAGTAAAATAAACGCAGTAAAACGGCGAAGTGTCAAGCTGCATTCTGAAAACCCATTTCTAGCAAACCACACCCCTGTTTAGAGACTGCACTAGGCCCTGCCTTCTCCGATTCAGTGACAGGAAATCAAGGGGACTGGGGGGTGGTACGGTCAGACGCTGGTGGGAAAGCAGCTATCTCCCTGAGGGTCGTCTCCACTTCCGCTCACAAGAGCATTTAAGAGTGCGTTAACACCAAAAGCCCTGGTTATCGATTGGGCTGCTACCTGAAAGAGTGCTTTCACCCGAGTCACACTAATAACATGACACCATTCAAAAATTCGGCCAAACTCGGCACGCATTTCTCACTTCCACTGGGACGCCCTACAACTGCAATGAGGTCAGGGGCCTGCGCCCTGGACTGGGGCTCTCCCCTCTGCGTGTATGTCCTGCCTGCATGCTGGTGGGGGCCACTGCCCCGACCTCAGGGCGGCTGAGGCACGGGGTCCCCCAGGCCGGCGAGAAGCGGGGTGCACCTGGCTCCGCTCACAGCGGGCTCGGGGAAGGCGGGGATCTGCAGCCCACATGTGGACCGGGCTAGCCTGGGCGTAAAGGGCCGCTCCACGGGGACGGGGAGGAGGCTTTAAACCCTGGGCCCGAGGCACGGAGCCGGGCAGGGGCCAGCGCCGGGGAGACGGCGCGAAATGCAACCACGGCGCGGGCGGAGAGCGTCACGTGGGGCACAACTAGTGACGCATGACGCGCAAGGGAGGCCGGGAGTGACGCGCGTTAACGCTCAAGAGCGCGAGCGACGCAGGCGGCCTGGGGCAGCAGGACGCGCGCTGGGCGGAGCGTGAGGACGTCCGAGAGGGAGGGCCGGAGCAACAGGAGACGCTGCGCGGGGTGGGGGCGCGGGCGCGCGCACGGAAGCGGGCGGGGGCGCGCACGCGCAGGGAAGCGGGCGCGCGCGGGCCCAGGGGACTGGGCATGGCGCGCGGGGGCGGGGCGGGGGCGACGGTTGAGGGCGGCGGCGGCCCCCCGGCCTCGCGTGGCCCTCCCCGCTCGCAGCCTGCCTCACCGTGGCCTTGGCCGTGAGCACCAGCGCCTCCTGGTTAATGCTGGACACCTCGGGGGAGCTCTTCATGATGACCCGGATCCGGGACAGCGGCAGCGACACCAGTCGCTGCTCCCCGCCCCTGTCTTTGCCGACGACCACGTCTGCCATCTCGCCACCCCCCGGCCCGGGGGTGGCGACCGCAGCAGGCCCACGCGCGAGCTCGCCGACTCCGCAAGCAAAGCTGGAGCTGGGCGCCGGAGCCCCGCTGCCCCATGGGAGTGAGAGCGCTCGGAGGCGCGGCCGCGAGCCGGGGCGGCCCTTCCGGCGGGGACTACCAGCCCCGTGATGCCGCGCGCGCAACGTCATCGGTGCGCGACGGCGCCGGCCATTCCTGCGCGGGGCTCCCGCACGCACACCGGCTCCCTCACCGCGGCCCACGGAGCGACGGGAAGGGCGTGTCGCCTGCGCGCGGCCGCCGGGGAGACGGAGGTCCCCAGTGTCACAGAGGCAGCGGGGGAGCCCCGGAACGCGAGGGCGGGGCGTGGCAGCGGACCCCAGGTCCGAGCGGTCGCTTCCGGCTGCACTCCGGGCCGGGCGGGATGTAATGCTGCCCCGACGCTCGCGATCTGCAGTGGGAGAGAGAGAAGAAAGCACGGTGTGCAGTCCGCCGTGTAGGAGAAATAAAGCAGGCCGAAGACGTACCGAGTCGTGGGAGTGCTGGTGGGAAGACCCCGAGGGACCCCACTGTGTAGGACCAGTTGTGCGCCACAGGGGTTCAGAGAATCAGCCAGGGCTAGGTCCTGTTGAACTTGCTTCTGAGAAGAGCCCGAGGCCAATGGAGGTCTTGAGGCCTGTGATAGCAACTGCCTTCTCTTTGAAAGGACCCTCTGAATCCCCTGGGGGAGACCCAGCCAAAGTCCAGAGTAGTAATGCAGCCAGGCCAAGATTAGGAATCCTGCCAGGAGGAGCTGGATGAGTCCCTATTGTCAGTCAAGCCGAAAGTAGACAATTGCGTCTTCAGCCTCAAGTTCAGGATGAAGTGGGTTTTGTTGTTGGGTGTCTTACATACCACGTGAAAGAGTAGACCGCCTCTGGGGATTTTGGGAGCAGCACATCACACAGAGCCACCTCGGCACAACAAACTGGTACATGGAGGGCAGAGGTGCTGGAAGGATTCAACCACCAGACTCTTGGTGAGCAGCTGTGCTCTTGACCATGGTGCCACCAGATGATAACCGAAGGCTTGAGAGTGAGGGAAGGTAGAAGAGTGTAGCCAACATAGGAAGAAATCTGAGAACTAGGGGAGAGAAGGAAACTAGCAAAGGAGGCTGGGAAGAAGTGGCTATGGAATACGAGGAAAACCAAGAGACTGTGATGCCCGGGAAGAAAGGAGAAACTGAAGAGCTGGGTCAGGAATTGCTCCTCAAGGTCACAGGCATTGAGGACAGTGCTGTGGATTCAGTTGTATCCCCAAATGATTTTTCTGCTCAGCTGGACCGTGATTCTCAGAATCCGTTATCCCCCACATTGTGATCAGTGCACTTACTGTTGAAGGCCTCCTCTCTGTGCTGCCTTTGAGGCTGGATGCGATCTGCTGGATTAATTTGTACCGAGAGTCAACCTGAGATAAAAGGGATTAACGGAGCCAGCAGAGTTCAGAGGGACCTACTGCCACAAATACCAACAAAGAAGAATCGGGAGGGGAGTGCATCCTTCAGACCTGTCTTCCCCTAGAAGCTGGAAGTGGCATGCTGGGTTCAGACCTGGAACCTCCTAAACTGTGAGGGACCAAATCATGTGGCAAAGCTACCCACTTGGTGCATTTCAGTTACAGTTGTACCAGTCAACTAAGAAAGCCAAGCCAGGGTCAGACCTCACAGTTCTCCATTCACATCCATCCAGCCCCCCTTTGCTATCTATATCCCCTGGCATTAGGAACCATTAGATACCTTCCCCAGAATCCCTTGCTAGTGGCTTTTGGTTAGATCCTGCCAGTGGGAGGTACTGGTGAGCAACTTGGAGGGGGAGGGGGGTAGGAAGAAACACTCATCTGCTTCCCTGGAGGGTGGTGACTAAGAGGGCTTCAGGGGCTCCGCCAGCGTATATGGGGTTTGAGAAGCTTCTCTGAGGAGGAGCCCTGGGTTTCAAGAAGTTTACTGGCAATCGTGGGCTCGCAAGACTGCAGGCCAGAGGCAGCACCTGTCCACCCACTCTGATCTCTGGGCAGCATCTCATCCTCCTACTTACTCAGAAGAACTTTTCTAACTTTTCCCATGTCCTTGTAACCAAGTGTAGACGTCAAGTCTCTCTGCAATGTCTAAGGAAGCTTCTGCACTTCCAGTGGAATCTTGAAACACAAGTATTTGACCCTAGGAGTGGTCCTAGGGAACAGACCCACAAAAATCACAATAACACCAATTGTGCTGGTACATAGAGGGGACCTTGCTGACAGTATCCCATGACAATCATTACTCTATTGCTACCCACCCTTGCCCCAAATGGAGTGCCAGTGAAGCCAGGTGGCTGCATGTGATTCGCCAAGGTGGGAAAGGCAAGACAAGGCTTGTGGGCTACCTGGCTGTCGCTTATTGCTTTGAAGAGATTTCCAAAAGACTAAAAACTCAAGACTTTAAACTCTCAGGTCACATGTGATCAGAGAGCCAGCTCCTAGAGGAGTGTGTGTGAGTGCTGGTGAGTCCATTTCAGCTCAGCCACTCCATCTGTGTACAGCAGAACCTGGGGTCATCAGTGTGCCGAATACAGACACACACCTTAGACACAGACAACATGGACTAAAATTGAGGGATGGAAAAAGTTTAAGCCAACAGTAACCAAAATAAAGCAGTTATTAATTTCTGATAAAATAGACTTTAAGGCAAAAAAAGGACATTATGTATTGATTAAAGGATCGATTGAACAAGAGGATAGAACCATAAATACATTCCCAATGAGAGAGCCTCAAAATACATCAAACTTAACAAATAGATACTATATATACTCGAGTATAAGGCAACTCGAAAATCAGCCGAGGCACCTAATTTTACCACAAAAACCATAAAAAATGTGCTGAAAACCTCGGCTTACATACAAGGATATACAATAACTGCAATGCTAGGAGACTCTAATGCAGCGGTTCTCAACCTGTGGGTTGCCACCCCTTTGCGGGTTGAACGACCCTTTCACAGGGGTTGCCCGATTCATAACTAGCAAAATTAGAGTTATGAAGTAGCAATGAAAATAAATTTATGGTTGGAGGTGTCACCACAACATGAGGAACTGTATTAAAGGGTCGCAGCATTAGGAAGGTTGAGAACCACTGCTCTAATACATCACTTTCAACTCCTCAGACAGAACTAAAGGCGATCAACTGACTAGATCTTGCATATAGAGAGCATGTCACTCAACAACACAATGTACACTCCTTTCTAGTGCACATGGAACATTCTCCAGAATAGACCCCCGTCAGGCCACAAAGCAAGCCTACACACACCAGAATGAAACACTGCCTGGTCTTGTGCTGTGTAGTAACATACAAACTCAAAAACTCTCATGATCATGTCTCAACTCTGGTCATCAAAGAGCCCTCATGGGGTAGTAGTTACATTTTGGGCTGCAATCTGTACGGTCAGCAGTTCAAAACCACATGATGTTGGCAAAGAATATTCCAATATTATAGTGGACAGCTGCTATGTGAGAGAAAGACCGGGCTTTCTACTCCAGTAAACATTTGCAGTCTTGAAAACTCAGGGGCAGTTCCAGCTGCCCTATTGGGTGTCTCTGAGTCAGCGTCAACTTGATGGCAGGGAGTTTTGAAGAATGGGACAAAGATACACCATCTGGATAAAGGACATCATTAGCATGAGGCCTTCCTTAGTGGTGTCCAAGGGTTTCTAGAGAATTGGAGGTTTAAGCAGGATATGGGTGGACAAATGAAACTGACACAAAAGCATGATTGGCAGCCAATAAATGCATCACAATAACAAGGGAACTATAGAAATGTGACCGGGACCATGACTGAGATGAATACATTATGCTAGATGGAAGAGCTTGTAAGATTGGCCCAGGGCATTCCGACCAAATGGCATGACTTATGACGATGTGTCCCCAGGACAACAGTGTCTATCAAGGGTGCACCCTGACAAGTCCCTAAGGGAGACTGACCCTCCCTGAGCTGTTAGGGAAGTGGTGGCAATCCACTTTCTAATGCACTCTGCCCGAAGGCACACCTGTTTGTATTCCTGGTCAAAAGGGATTCAGTAGAAGTCTAATCCATATGAGGACTCATAAATAGTTTGGGGGGTTCCACTGTGAACCATCGCCTTCTGCAAACTCAGCTCTCATAAATGTAAACTCTAACAGAGCATTCCTCACGGTCATGGCTATGTTTGAGCCCATTGTTATGGCCACTGTCCAATACTTTATTAAGCATGATGTCCCTTTCCAGGGACTGATCCCTGCTGATAACATGCCCAAAGATATCTGTGACGAAAAAGGCTCTCCCTCGTCACTTTCAACAGGTGTTCGCACTGCACTTCTTCCAAGACAGTTTTGTTCATTCTTCCAGCAGTCCATTGTCATTGGGAGTCCATTTTAATATTTCATATTGTTTGTCAATATCATAAATCCAAAGGTACCAATTCTTTGGTCTTTATTCACGGTCCAGTGTTTTTACATGCATAAGAGGTGGTTGAAAACACCAGGACTTGCATCAGGCGCACTTTAGTCTCAAAGTAACATCTTTCTTAACACTTTGTTGAGAAAAAGCCCCTGTGCAGCCCGAAGAGGCTGTGGGGGGATAGAGAGAAGAGAGGGAAACAAAAGTAACAATGTAGCTGAGCCCTGATCCCTGCCCGTAGGGCTGCAAGGGTTTAGTCTCTGCTCTGAGGCGGTGGTGGCAAACTGTGGCTGTGTTGAGATTAAGCCCTCATGCGGGCTCCAAATGGTCCCGCTCCAAATGGTCCCGCTCCGGCAGACAGTGGCGGGGCTAAGGTCCAGCCCTAGTCGGCCTCTACTGTGGTAAGCCAAAAG